GTGGGGTGAGAAGGGAGAGTCTCTCTTCAGGGGGTTTTCTCCTTTTTCTTTCTCCTTTTCAAACCACTGACAGCTTTTATTTAACCCTGCAACCATCCTGATTATCATCCTCCTCCCTGCCCTGACTATCCTCCTCTTCCTCCCTGACCCAACGATCCTCATCCTTCTCTCTGCCACATCCCCCCGGCACAGCTTGCCCAGACATCCTCTGGCGGGGTCCCTGTCCCTCTGGGGCTCTCTGGAGCCAGGGCTGGCCCCCTCTCCAAGGATGAGCAATCATGACCCTACAAAAACCTGTTCATTCCCAACCCCCTTCATCCCTGGGGATGGACAAAGCTGATTTTGAAGAATTTCCTTCCCAGACAAATGCCAGCACCAGGCAGAATCCACAGCAGACGGGAGCCAGCACCAACCCTCTCCCTGGCGCCGGCAGCAAGGGCACCTGGCGAGGCACCTGCATGCTGCCAGGATGCTGCATGAACAAGACAGGGAGAAATCCCCTCGTGAGCCATTTTTGGGTCTATTTTCCCAGGAAAGCCTGCAGGAGCTGGCTCTGTAGAGCCCCAGTTTACCCAGTGGCACCACAGGGGCAGAAACATGAACCCCAGCAGAAGCTTTACCCATTCCAACACCTTCGAGCCTGAATTTCGGCACAGTCCCTCCTCCAACCAAGGAGGAACCACGATCGCGAGCCCCATGCTGCAGGGACGCACAGGGACGCGGGCGGGCTTCCAAGACACTTGAAGCCCGGAGTTCCCACTTGCAGGCAGGTGAAACACTAACACAATCAGATCAAAACTGTATTAAATAAAAACAAGCTGGGCTGTTTTTAGCAGCAGAGCAGAGGCGGCTCATAGCACTCCTGCTTTTTCGGCAACAACGCAGACAAGAACCCTCCCCACCACTCTGCCCCTTGCTCTACCAACTGCAAGCCCATCAGCCAATCTTCAGCTCGGTTCATTATTTTAGGTTACTGCAACACATACCAGAGATGGGTATCTCCAAGATTTGCAGGTTTTTTTGGATGCATCCAGCGGGCCCTCCACCACTTAATGCAGACAGGGGCAACTGAAAGGATCTGAGAGCAGAGAGACCTTCACTAAATTCATATGAGGTCTCTAACCAGTCTAAAACCTCAGGGCTCCAGTCCAGCCTCCGAGACATCCCAAGCTGACTTCCTAAAGCCCACCCTGGGATCCCTAAAGAGTGGATCTGGGATGTACCATCTCCCTGCAATTTATCTAGGCTGCTACAACTCCCCTTCCAATTACAAAGCCATAGCAGTGACTTCTCCAAAGCACAAACACCACCTCCTCCACGCATACAAAATGTGTGAATAGTGGCTTTTTAAGGAAAAAAAAATGCACACCTGTATGAAAAGCAAGGTCCCAGACTGGCTCTTGAAGCTAAATGCTGTTTCACACTCGAGAATTATCCTATAAGAGAAACAAGGGTGCTCCACCCTGCTGGGGTGGGAAGCAGCTTTATCTCCCTGGAGCCAGAAGAGCCCAGGTGCCCGGCAGCCAAAGCCCACGGCTGTGGGCCAGGTTGGTGGGATGATGCTGAAGTGGCCGTCACTGGCTGTCAATACCCATGCCTGCCTTGTTACGAACAGCTGCAAGGATGCTCAATACTTGACTTCTTCCCAATTCATCCAGGGTTTTCCCCAAAAGGAAATGGAGGGAAACCAGAGCCTGGTCGTCCTAATTTATGCTCCCATAACCCAGATCCTGGCAGGGCTGCTGTAGAGCTCAGCACTGGTGGCTGGGCTCAGGAGAGGACAATGTCTCCAAGAAGGAGCAGGGAGGTGGCAGCTGGGAACGCTGTCCCATCTGGTCTGGGACGAAAGGGATGAGGCTGCATAAAGACTTGAGGAAAGGGCAGAGGCAATGAGGTGGGGAGCCAGGACAACAGAAATGGGTATGGGGATCATCCAAAAAAATGGATAAAGGGGCTCACCTGAAGGGGATGGAAGGGAGATTGCCCTTGAGATCATCCCAAAGGACATCAGGAGGCAGGCAGAGGTGCAGAAAAGTGCAACCAAGAGGTGGCTGTCAGCATAGGACAGACTGGGTTTAGGATTATACCAGCGGAGAGGAAGGCTGCAAGGCTGCTGCAAGGGAAAGAAACAACCTGGAGAGACTGGAGAGCAGAGTCCAAAGGCAAAGGCGTAAGCAAAGAGCAAATTTGCGAAGGCTCAACAACATGGCAAAACAACAGAGACGCTCAACAGACAACAATACACTCTGCAGCTGAGGTGGAAGCCCCTTGCTAACTGTGCAGCTAAGCCAACAGATGGAGCAGCAAGGTGGACGTGGAGTTTGCGAGGCAGAGCCCTCGAGTTATATCAAATGCCGTCTCATACGGGCGGAGGAGCTCAGTGAGAGGTGAACAGCGGGACGCTGATGGCGCCAGGGCCAGGCCTCTGGCTAGGACAGCAGGACCCAGTAAGTAGGGCAGGGAAGGAGACCGTCCCTTCGCAAGGTCGTGCTGTGCCACCTCCCTTCTCAGCCTCCGCCGGGAGCTCGCCCGTCCTACGGCCAGCAAGGATGGAGGCGGCAGCACAGTGCGCAAGGCTTATCTCTACGCAGGACCCTCCACCTGGCATTGAAACGTGGGATTTATTGCACATAATCCATACAGTCAAGCTACGCATACACAGCAAAGGCCAATGCATCCAGAGCTCACCAGTTCAGTCCTGACATGCACAGCAGCCTCTGCTGTGTTGGACCCACTGCCTCCCATGAAGCCAACTCCTTCTCGGCCCATCGGAGGGCTGTGGTGGGGTGCTGCTCACCACCCTCTTGGGAACAAGGGTTTATGTAGGGGAAGATTCTTGCACTCCTCTTTCCCAGGTGAAATATCCCTGCCCAGTCTTTACCCTTGGGTTGTTTCCAAATCACCCACCACCCCTGACTCCCTGTAGGACTTTCTCCAGGTTGGCCTCACCCCTTTAGGAATGGAGCATCCCCAAGCCTTGTGCCTCAGAAGGGATGACAAGGATTATACACCGAACCAGCATTTCGGGAGACCTTCCCTAGCAGTGGGAGGTGGCACCTCCCTGGGCAGCACAAATTTTCCTCTCCCCACTCGTCCATTAGGGAATAGACCCCACCGTCTGTCCACGGAATGGCTTGGGCATGGCCTCCCAGGCAGAGGATGCTCCTGCTTCCCCAGGCGGGCAGAAGAGCAGTCCCAGGGCTATGGGACACGTGACAAAGAAGCCGAGACATGACCTGCAGTCATTAAAATCCCAGCAGAATTGTGCCAAAATGGAAGGAGGTGGCAGGGTGTCACGCTGCGCTGTGCCCCTCAATGCCTGCCGGGAAGCAGAAGGCAACCTGGGGCACTGTGGGGACTGGCTTTGTCACTGACAGGCTCATCTGCTCAGGAATCCAGATGCCACCAACTGGATCTGCTTCATCTTCCACTGCTGGAAGAATTCAGCTTGTTAGGCAACCAACAAACGAGCCTTGCGGATGCTCTCGGGATCCTTGCCATGCCTGGCGCATGCTGGTGCTCAGGCTCCAGCTGAACTCACTGTCTGCCCCAAAACACTTCGAGGGTCACCAGGAAGGTGGTGGGGATGCAGCTGCTGTCCTTGTCCCATTTCTGGCCCCAAGCCCTCTGCCTCCACAGCCCCCCATGCCTCGCCACTGAGACCTCCTGGCATGGCTCACGGGGTGATGGTTGAGCCACACACCAGCCTGCTGAGTCGTTTCAGGGCCGGTGGATTTGGGAGCAGTAGAGGAGAGGCTTTTCATGCCACCACCAAGCTTCCTGCTGGAGCGGGGCTGTGGGCCGGGCTCTCCGTGCTGCCCAGCAGCTCCTTGCACCCCAGCTGCCAGCGTGCCACATGTATACAGCCATCGCCTGTGCCTGTCACCAACCCCTGCCCGAGGACCTCCCCCCTGCAACGTGTAAAAAAGTGCCCATAAAACCCAGCCAGAACTGGAAAAGCCGCGGGGAACAAGCGATCTGTCACCCGGCAAATGCTCCCCCTCTTCTACCTGAGGGGCACCAGGCAGCCCCCTGAGCCGCCCTCCCTGCCACCAGCCAGGGATCTGCCGCTGGGCACACCGCTGCTGAGAAGCTGGGAGGGGCTGGAGCCTGCCAGCCACCAGGAAAGTGATGGTGCAGGATCCAGCCTAAGCATCACACTCTCTCCACACAGTCCCAACCAAGAGAACAACTTCCCAGAGGGGCCGATGAGCATGTGGCCCGAGCCTGCACTGGGGGGGACCCAGGCCCAAGGAGAA